CAACCCGGCTTGGACATCTTCAGGGGGGAAGGGAGGCCTTGCAGAACCTTAGGCGCTTGTTAGGGGTGATCCGCCGCCAGTATCGGTTCTTCCGTCATTTCTCATTCCATTGTTCGTGGAAGGCGCAAGAACACAACATCAGCATGCGGCCAAAAAGCAACACCCAGCCAGCAGCTTCCACGCGAAAAACCAGACCACGAATCAGCTTGGGTTGGTCGATGTTGGTCGATATGAAGGGATTTGAACTTCAGCCCACCAACCACAACACAGCCATTCCTGGTTTTCCTCAGCAACTGCTTCCCCTCAGTGCCTGGGCAACTGGTAGTCGTGTAGAATCACAAGCCCAAAGGAAACAAACTTATCTAGAAAGATCTTGTTCGGGACATTCTGGGTTCCATGAATGAATTCCGGCGGAATGCAGCGGAGCTGCACAAAAAATGCACATGGAACCAGCGCATGGCGAGGACCACGGCGCTGGGAGTGGCCTTCCCAATAACACGCCCGAGCCAATGGCTGGGGGCTGAGCCGCGTGCAAATGGTTTGGGCCAACGTTCAATCAATCCCAAACCTATTGCTGCTTTGTTTACTGCTTCTCCCATTTTTGCTCGTAGAATTGCGCTTCCAACTGCTGATTTTCCTATCAAAGCTTGTTCCTCTTGTTGGTCCCGCGAAGGGGTCGTGGTGTTTCCCGCGTCATCAACATCACGCGTTTTGTGGCGGCTGTGAGGAACTGGAAGGGAAAAAGCGCAGCGCTGCACACACGCCTGCCAAACCATCACTGCACGCACACGTGCCGAATGGTAAGCACACCCGCTCAAGTGCACTGGCTCAGCACTGCGCGCGCACACACACACACACACGCACACACGCGTGCCAAATCCGCTTCTGCGCGCACGCCTGTATGGTAAGCACACCCGCTCACGTGCACCTGCTCAGCACTGCCCACACGCCTGCCAAATCGCAAGCACGCCCGCTCAAGTGCACTCGCTCGGCACCGCACACGTGCCACAATGCCGCTGTCTGATTCGCGGAGCTTTTTTTGATAGACGACCCACGTTTCTACAAGGTTGAATAGTCAAACCAACGAGCCCGTCGCAGACTTGCTACCTTGTTTTTCCTACTGTAGCCTTCCTTTTATAATGAAATGTATTTGTGTTTTCCTATTATCGTTTTAGCAACAGACACTGTAAGATGCTACCAACTGTTGGCCCGATCACGGTCAAGGCACCGTTCCCCACACACTCAGCTGCAAGTTTGTTGCTCAGTTTTGGTGGGGACGTGAACACACATCGCACAACTGGACATCTGGGACGAGTTGAAAGGGCGGGGGTGACAGTCGAAAACAGGCAAGCCTGAGTAGTCAACTAGTGGCCGGAAAAAGCTTCCAAAACACAATCTAAACGAAAATCACCCGGCTAGAATACCGCAAGGGCACATGGCAAACCAGGCACACCCACATGACCATGAATTGCCAAATACTGCAAACCTCCCTCTGAACGGGTATCCAAAGTCCAAACACTCAAGTCAGAAACCTACTTGTAAATAGTACTAAACATTGCCTGAGAACACCAACACATTGGCGCGAGCGCAGCATACATGGCAGTGTCCAGGCAGATTCCGCTCCTTTTTCTTTCTCCTGCCTCTGCTTAGACAGTCACAGGACTGCCTTGCCATTGCCTGGCCGATTGCGAAACTTCTCCGAAGGGCTCAGGCTTCGTAATATCTGACCCTTCCTTTCCAACGATTAAAAGAGCTCCACAGGGCCTAGAAAAGAACAAACGCAAGAAGGGCTCCAGAAAAAACGCACCTCCTCCAAAGCAGTGTGTGCCTGTGCGTACGCGCGCTCCTTTCCGTTGGCAACCCAAACTGCCAAGCTCCTTGAAAGAAGAAGACGGGAACCAAAGACCAACCTAAGTGTTGGTGCCAAAACATGTTGATTTTCTGAACACAAAAGCTCGAGCTATTAGTGTCACGAGGTCCATCCTTATCCGCGGGTTGTAGGTGCCAACATCTACCTTTGCATTGTCTGACTGATGCTTCCTTGTTTTCAACAAGGTAATTCATTTTGAACGGATGGACTAAACATAAACACACTGGCGAAGCAGTCTCCATACACCTTCAGTACCAGGTGTTCATGAAATCCAACACGTCCAGACCACCTGTGGAACCAACAACAGACAAAAATCAGAAAGCCACTTATTATAAACAAGTCATCCCACCATCACTTGAACTGTGCCACACACACACACATATCAGCCACACATCAGCCACACATCAGCCACACATCAGCCACACATCAGCCACACATCAGCCACACATCAGCCACGATCCCCTGAAGCCCATATTATTGCACATTTCCCAGTAGCCTTGCCGGCATCTAAAGTAGCTGTTAATATGCTTTGGAGCTTGGGTCATGGGTCAAGAGCCAAAACTAACATTCGAGGCCGGCTTGCATAACAGCAACGATGTGGAGGGCTCCTTGGTTGAGACACGGGCTGACCCGGCACTGGTACCTCTTGTCTATTCAGCCGCGCGGGTGGTACCCAGCATGCCCAGCCTGCTTCGAGGGCAAGCCTCGGCACAGTCTTTCAAAAGGGGGGGTTGGATGAGTTTGCTCGTCCCCAGGAGTTGCAATGAGTGTGTCTGCCTCGTAAGGAGCGCATCGAATCAGGCAACAAACCGCGGAACCAGATGCCGCAAATAAGAACAACAGAATGAGCAGTTGTTGGGGTTTTCAGGGTGGAGTTTAGAATGACCGGCCAAATTCCCTGGAACCAGCAGGCGACACAGGTGACACGCCTTGGCCAGTAAAACAGCCTAGGAAACCGGATGCTTGTGGTATAGACGATGTGCCGGAAACGGTTCCCTGAACACATGAACTTGTCACGACCTTGCAGCAACATAGGCGCCAGAAAAGCGCATGACTCGCACATATGTCTTGCCCTACTCAATGTTTGGCAAGGGCAGCAGAACCATCCCCGTGTGGCTGCAGTGTGTGTCACGCAATGTGAATTTCGGATGACTTCCTTTCGCATTGTTGCAACCGCCCGAAGGACGTTCGGAGATCCCCACTAAAAACGATGCTGCGCGCCAAGCGCAGACCAACCACCACGCCGAAACACCACATGACACTTGGCATGCAAACATCGCCAAACCAAGACCAGCACGTGTTTTGACATGTTTTGACCGCTGGCTTGTTTTTGCAACATAACAAAAAGGGTACTCTGAAACATGGGCATAACCACCTGAGCTCTTTCTCCTGTTCCGCGACGCTGGCTTCGCTTCGGGCAGCTTGCCCTTCAGCGCTGCATCCCAGGACAGTCACCGGTCTCTGGAAAAAGATACTAGGTGGGGCGCGCCGGGCTGGGAAGTAAAGTGCCCCAGATGAAAAACAGGCTCTGACTGAAGGGGACTTGATTGAAAGCTTCTGGACGTGATCCATCCCAAAGAGCCGCTGAGGACCTTCTGCCTGCCTCTTCCGTCCCGTACGTCTGCTACCCACCCTAAAAAATCGGTCAGGTGCTTTGCCGCGTCAAAACGGGTTGCTGAGTTGCTTCACAGCGTTTGCCCTGGCCGCATGCTGGCCACATGCCACCTTGACCAAAGCAACCCGTTTCGATCGCCGAAATCGAAGTTTCGTCTCACTGGCTCCGGCGCCGCTTCCGCAGGGCTCGACAGACCAGTATGACAGAGGCGGGCGCAACCTGTCAAGAGTTTTGCCTCGCGAGGGGTTATAAAACGGGGGGAACCTGTCCATGGTCTTTCCTTTCTGGTGTCCCTTAAAACGAAACTCCAAGGGCACCCTCAAAAGAAGACAAAACCATCCAAACATGCAGAAAACCACCAGCCTTTTCAGGTATGGGCAGGCATAAGTGGGCATTTGTTCATCTCACCTCATAATTCATAATCATATACTTGAGAAGGCCGTTCACCCATCCCCATAGGAACCCTTGGAGGGAGGCTCTTTGATGGGCCTGGTGTGATCTGAAAGGCGTCCATGTGATTTCTCAAGTGTCGGCCTGGGGTAATTTGGATCAAGACAGCGCGGAAAAGCCTGAAAAGCTGCAATGGTGCGCATTAGGCATAAACACGCGTATGCAATTGTAGGTGTTTGCGCAGATTAAGCCAGTTGCAGCACGCAAATGTTGGCGCCAAACCACTTTGCACAGCGATGAAGACTATTTGACAATTCGAAGGTGTGCGTTCCCGGTTTGAACCTTGTTGATCGCATTGGGCCGTGCCTGGTGTTTAATGATTGGCCACTAGGAATCTGATCAACGACCTCCACAAGTTTAAAACAGCCAAAGGCATATTGAAACGGAACTTGACTGGAAGATTGGGCTAACCTTCCGAGCAAATGCTGGTAGAATGCTCAGGGTCTGGAACCAACTTGCGCAGGATGGATTCCGAGAGCCTTGGCACGCTTGCCCAAACAAGATATGTGTTGCTCATCCCAAGTGTTTTGACTGGGGCCCTGAGTAAACCGTAGCCCTCTGAACCGAGCGGTTGCTCATCCGGCCAACTTCCTTGCGTCTCGGTCAAGTTTAGTGGGGAGGCTCGCTGGCCTTTCCAAACGGACAAAGGCCACAAGCGGGTCGACCAAACTGCCACGCAGCCGTCGCATCAGTTTGACTTAGAAATGAGAAACCTTCATGGAACTTGATCTCACCCACACTTCCCCCCGAGTTCCCTTGCCCCAAATCCGTTGGTCGGACATGACCCCTATGCCAAAAGAGGATGCGCTCATCCCCGCTACTTTCAAAGGGGAACCCCCTTGGCCCATGGAAAGTGGCCAAGCTTTGGGATCGCGCTTTGAGTAAAACCCAAACAAACCCATTGCGCGTCTTAGGACACAACATGCCCAAAAAACGTTCAAAAGCGAACGTCTATGAGTTCTCGTATTTGTTGCCTATTGCCACTAATCGCGCCAACCTGAAGATAGGACATGGGTAAGGGTCCTTCATCATGGATGGAACCGCTTTGTGCTCGGCCCACATTGTTTAAACGCGCTCAACATGGAGTTCCTCCAAACGAAAGAATCCACGCAACCTTCTCCTCAGCAAACAAAATGGATTTTTGTGAGAACCCCACAAAACGGGTGGGTTTTCCCCAAAACGGGGTTGATAAGCCTCACAAAACACGCTTTCCCCCCCCCACTCGACTCCGACCCCGCCTGCAGCAGCAGAACTGGCACCCGCCACAACCGCCACCAAGGCCAAAAGCTCCGCCGCAGCTGGCGCCTCCGATGGCTCCGAAACCCGAAGCGCGGGACGGGACCTGAAGCGTAGACGTGACCTGAAGAACAGGAGAACCCTTTGTGACGATTTGTTGGACCCCAACAAGCGGAAAAGAGTGCCATCGCGCAAAACAAATGACCTGAGGGGTGGAATTGTTGCAGGGTGGAATTGTTGGATGGAATTGTCTTCCTTCTCCCCACTTCGGCCAATTTCAGAAACCAAAACCGGCAATTCGACCGACCCCAAAACAGGGCTTGAGCCCTATATTGCCCCTTGAAGCATCATCCCAAAAGAAAGCTCATTTCAAAATTAGCCCAAAAGGGTGACGTTTAAAACGACCAGAAACGCCATTCCCCAGATTGACATGGGTGTATGTTGTGTTGGGCTCCTAAAAGGGGAAACATAGGGAGCCCTGCAACCCCCCCGTGCCTGAGGATGATGCGCCATGCCTTCTTGGCGTGTCGCAGCGTGGAGCTTGGCAGGCGGAAGGGGTCTTTGCCGCTCCAATCGCCCCAGCCCCTGGCAAACACCAAAGCGGAGGCCTGTCGGAAATCGGGTCAAACAGGAGACCCAGGCCCTGGAAATGGCTGGCTTGAGGACAATCTCGCTTGACCAGGGCTTTCTTTGTACCTCACTCGTAGGACAGCAACGCAGATCTTGGTAAAAGTCGTGTGTTGTGCGCCCATACGCGCTTTGCAGCCTTTGCCACTCGTTTCAGGGCTCCTTGTCGATCACCCATTCCGGGCAGCCAGCTACTAGACACCACAACCACGCAGAAACCATGCCAGAAAAAATGTACTGAAATCGAGGTTAATTTCTACGAGCATGCGAAGTTGCTATTCAACAACGGGACGTCCGCGAGAGGGAAACTTCATCTTGGGATCGGTTGCCGTCGGGATGCAGGGCCAAAGAGCTCGCGCTCTTCGGACGGAAAAAAATCCCAACCCACTGGTCCACTATAAGGTGGAATCCTGCTGCGAACCCCTGAGAAATATCCCACCCAAATAATAAGCAGCGGGGGTCCTTTTTGACTTTGAGTGCAAATTCCTGCCCTCCCACAGCATGATGAAACATAAGGTCGAAAACAGATGAAAAAACCTGGCGTTCTTTCGAGGTAATGAAAGAAATCCGTCCCCTTTCAAATGGGGTGCAACCTATCAACCAGGCCATTGTATATTATTTGGGTTCCCACTTTAGAGGATGTTCTTTCTGTGCGGGACATACCCCCTCCTCCCCCGCCACAGCCTGCCAGGTGTCAAAAGAACCTAGATGGGTCGCCTCAAGATCGGATATGGAATGTCGAAACTGGGCTTTCCCTTTGCTACTCCTCTTCTACAAACCAAGACAGCCTAATTCCAAGCAACAACAATTCCCCTTTGCAAGTGCCTCCCTGAAATCTGACTCCAAACAAGATAGGCAACATAGGCTTACTTGACCAGACTTATACCCCCTGCACAAAGTTAGCCTTTCGGCAGTTGACAGCGAACACCATGGAAAATGGTCAAACAGTAAGCTAAGTCTGCCAAATCCCACTCCAAAACGCGCACAAACACACACACACACACACACACACACACACACACACACACACACACACACACACACACACACACACACACACACACACACACACACACACACACACACACACACACACACACACACACACACACACACACACACACACACACACACACACACACACACACACACACACAACACACACACACACACACAAACACACACAAACACACACAAACACACACAAACACACACAAACACACACAAACACACACACACACACACACACACACACACACACACACACACACACACACACACACACACACACACACACACACACACACACACACACACACACACACACACACACACACACACACACACACACACACACACACACACACACACACACACACACACACACACAAACACACACACACACACAAACACACACACACACACACACACACACACACACACAAACACACACACACACACACACACACACACACACACACACACACACACACACACACACACACACACACACACACAAACACACACACACACACACACACACACACACACACACACACACACAAACACACACACACACACACACACACACACACACACACACACACACACACACACACACACACACACACACACACACACACACACACACACACACACACACACACACACACAAACACACACACACACACACACACACACACACACACACACACACACACACACACACACACACACACACACACACACACACAAACACACACACACACACACACAAACACACACAAACACACACAAACACACACACACAACACACACAACACACACAAACACACACACAAACACACACAAACACACACAAACACACACACACACACACACAAACACACACACACACACACACACACACACACACACACACACACACACACACACACACACACACACACACACACACACACACAAACACACACACAAACACACACAAACACACACACAAACACACACAAACACACACACAAACACACACAAACACACACACAAACACACACAAACACACACAAACACACACACAAACACACACAAACACACACAAACACACCATGCGAGTAAACCATGCGAGTGTGCTTTTGATGTGTTTTTTTTTAGTTGCATTTGGAAACCCACAGGGAAACCACCAAAGTTCTGGGGGCTCGAGCCCGATCTACCGCCTCCCCCGGCTCGCTCTCGCCTGGCCGCCGCCACGCTGCGCGGCCCGAAGCTCTCCGGGGCGCCTCGGGGCTTCGGGGCATTCGAAGGCTGCGGCTTCGGCGGCTTTCGGCTGCCAAAGTGGGGTGCCACGTTCGTTGTCGGCTTTGTCGGGGGGCAAAACCCCGGGCGTGTCTTTTTCTGAGCCGTCTAGTTTGGTTTTGCTTTACAGGGAAACCAAAAGGAAGAGCGATGCAGCGTTCTTTTCACAAATTAGGTGCTCAAAGAGACAAATACAACAACTGGAAACAAGCGAGGAATGGTTCTTCAGTTCAGGCACGCAATCCCTTTGGGGTTTGCGTTGTTTGAACCGTAGGTGGTTCGTTTCATGAACCGCTCCTGCGGTGGGTCAAATCTTCCAAGGCCTGCCAAGCTTCATGATTTCAGCCTTTGGTTACCGGGTGCATGGCGGGAGGGCTTACGTTGTGAAAGCGCCTTAGCCGATTCGTCAGCCAACGAGAGCTAAGGTGCGCAAACATTGAATCTGACCAAGGCGTTCGCGATGTTCGGCATCCGCCGTCTTTGCATTGTATGAAAATGGTGGCAGGTTGATAGGAACCTAGCAGAATAGCATAACTTGTCAGAGGGAAATCTAGTCCAAGGAGGAGCAAGGGCACAGCAAAAAGCGGCCTTTGCGGTGCCGTCACCACCAGTTTGGTCTGTCTGCAACATCTATGTCGCCGTGCCAAAAGGCAGGCATGGGGTCGCCTAGGACTTGGGCTCGTAAAGCTCCGGGTTAGTGCAGAGGTGATTTTTGTTCTTTCGGTTTTTTTCCGGGGGGCGGGCCAATAACATAGCTTCCCGGCTCGGAAAGCTAGGCTTCTCACCGAGAAAACTGGCCTGACCCATTTTTGGTGGGCGAACTTGGCAAAATACTTGCTCCTGCCATGTTTCGTGGCTGAAAGGGTGACAAACCTTTCCGCCCAAACTCGGCAGGTCGATCATCTGTGGCAACTTCCAAAGTACGGCGGCGGAAACACAACCCCCACAAACACCTTTCATGGGGAGGGACGGGTAAAGTAAGTGAGCCTGCTGATAACTTTGAAGCCATGGTTGGACACCGGTGGAATCCGTGAGGCGAGTAGGCTAAGACCTCTCCTTTCAAGCTTTCAAAGTTAAAGCAAGGACTGCCCCAACTGCGTGGAAGACTTCAAAAAATCCAGCTTTTGGGTGCAAGGGTATAGGGCGTTGCCTAAAAGAGGGCCTCAACTTATGTTTGCTCTGGAACTTCGATTTCGACTGCAAAGGGCCAAATGCTAGGACACCTTAAGCCTCCCAGCATCTCCCAGCATCCGAGGGATGCCCGAAACTCCATCAGCTGTGGGCCCCCGGCGAACCATCTCGGAGGCTTTGCCTGAGCGGGCAATAGAGCCGCGGTTGACTGACCAGCTGGCCCGAAAGAATTGGACCCCAAACAGCTTGATCATCTCCAGGGAGGCCACCAGGCAACGCCGGAAGTAAGCCTCCGCCCCAAACGAGTCAGCTTCCTGGTTGCTGATTAAGGGGATCCGGATCACTTGGAGAAACACGCGAGCCTGCCAGGTTGATCAATATGGCGTCAACAGTAAGGTGTATACCAAGACGGAGATAGAGTTACACTAGAGTTGGCGGTACTGCAGCTTGAGGCCCTTATGTTTTTGTCCCGGCCCATGGGGGGGGGGAACCTTTGGGCTTGCCAGGGGTCAAAGGGCCCCTTTTTGGGCCGCTTAGTGCTCCGTTGTTCCAGTGGTGCGGGGACAGCCATGAGGCGCGAATTGAGGAACCAGCAAGAATCTGTTAGCAAAAGCCTTAGACTCATATAAACTACTCTTTGCTGCGAAGCGTGTGCGATGTCCAGTGGGTCTCTCATGTCTAGCAGCTGCGTTCATAGATTTACGCATCTGCTTGTTCGAATCTGTTTGTTCCTTTGCTTCGCCTTCGTGCTGAGAAAACGCGGCCCCATGTTCTTTGGCCATGAGTTCCAATAGGGAACCACCTCAAACGGCTGCCAGACATACATGGCGCAATAGAGTCCCAAATCAAAGTGCGTGGCCATTTAGGTTAGGCAGCCCTTGTGCTTCCCGGCATTTGACTGCTTGCCGATATCTTTGTCCTGCTTCAGCCTTGGAAATGGCTTTTGTTGTATTTGCTTTGTATGTGTTCCCCCCACAAGAACAAAGACAGAAAGAAATACAAAAAGAAAGGACCAAACAATGGGGGGGGGCTCCGTGACCCTAGGAGGGTCAAGTCCTTGGATGGTTCTAAAGTTCCATGCTGATCCAAGTTTTGCGCCAGGGCCAAGCAAACTTGAGTCATGATCATGGGTGCATTCGATCAGTACGTATTTAGCCCCTCATATGAATCGACAGTGGACACCGTCAACCCCCAACCGTTCCACAGAATGCTCGTGCGTTCGGCGCTTGCTGTGGATTCCCTTGAAACGCATCCGGGCATGCGGAAGCCACTTGATTGAAGGTCTGGGGTTGGGGAACTGGCAGGCAGCTGTTTCGAGAGGATGGTGGTCTTCCAAACACTCCAGTCCACCATCATTCTTGGAAAGAGGGTAACAAACCATCAAGCCGCCTGAAAAGCATTAAACACTCAATCCACGTTGCCAGCTCCTGAGTTGAGCCACTTCCTTTTGCAAGCCGATGGTTTATCGTGGTATCCTTCGCGCTTCCCAGGAGCCCAGTTGGTCATAGGCCAGTTTTACCCATGTTATGTGCGGCCCTTTTGAGCAGCTCTTCTCTTCGTAGATGTAGAGTGGACAGGAATGCGGGCACCCCTTTTCGCCCGCGTCTTTGATCAAGTGAATGCATTCAGGGAACAACGTCTGAGCTCGCAAAAAAAACTAAGAAAGAACTGGCCATGTTTCAGGGGGTTCCCTGTTCCAAGACACGCCCATTTTGAGGAGAAAGACAACCAGTTTTCCCAAAACCGTGGAGGCCAATTTCGGGGCTTCTGGTTAGAGACAACCCACGTCTCCAGCTGCCAAACATGTTACACCCCTCATTTGGAAGACCAAGGGAACCGAAGGGAAACCAAAAGTAGGCCAAAGGCAAACGACAAGCTCACTCGGCCAGAGGACTTGGAAAGAAAAGGTTCGCCTTTTACCTGTTGGAACCTCGACTATGGACGAAATCAGGGAAACCAAAAGGTTGAGAGGTCGGGTTTGGGCAAGTGCGCAGGCAACCAATGGAAAACCAAAGGGAAGTCCACGCATCTCCGGCATTCCGAGCCTTGGCTCTTGGACCGCGACCAGCGCTCCGCCAAGGCTCCTAAGCGGTTTATGCCGAAGCGGCGTGTAAGCGACCGGACGGTTTCAATTACCTCAAACCAACTTTCCACAGGCAGGGAATGACGGAATCCTCCCTGACCATCCCTTGCGGTTTCCTTGTGGGCCGCTTCCGGTTCATTCCCAAAACCCTTACTTCATTCCTAGGCAGCAAGCTAAGCATCCGTGGGGCCATGGAGGGGTCCTCGATTTCTCCGAGGACAACGCATATTTGGCTCTTTTCCGGGATGAAACCACCGGCTCCACATGCCGTGCGGGGCAAAACTAGAAACCCCACAAGCCGGCAATGAGGAAGCCCTCTAGTAAGGGACCTGAATGGGTGAGCTTGCTTTTCCGCCATGTGAGCATTATCCTGCCTAGATTCAATCTCCCTTTGCACCTTTTGCTATTTATCAATCAAGGGCTTGTTTCTTCTGATTTGTTTTTATGCAGCAGTGAGGCCGCAGAAATGGAAGACGTGTCCTCAAACGGTCAATGGACACCACCAACCGATTTCTCCTTTGATCTGCACAAATTCGAAATTTGACTTCAAGAGGCCCGGCTTTGCTTTCAAAGGCAGTTTCACGTACGAAACCCTTACAAGCTTGGTGGTATAGAATCCATACCTCCGAACCTGAATACTGGTGCCATGGACAGCTTATGTTGCAACCAAGAACCCTACAAAACACACACACAGCACCCTAAAAGGAGGCGGCCACAAACAAAAAACTGCCCATAAATTAACCCAGCGAGATTAAGACTGCCTTCCTTTTGGGAACGCCCCTTGTCCACTTCCATTGGAAAGAGTTGACCTGGGACTAAAGGATCACATGTCTTGGAGGAACCTCCTGCCTGGATTCCTTCCGTTCACTTTTTAGCAGGTGCCCAAAACGGACCCAGTGTCCAGGCCTGCCGCGGCGGTCCGCAGGTCCTTCGCGTCTTTGCGCATGAAGAAGCCCCGCACCGCCTGGCAAAAGCCACTTGCCATAGACTGAAAATTGGCTCGAACAGGTTGGGTCCTGGCAAGGTTTGGGTTCCAGATGTGTGGGATTTGTGGGGGTTGACTAAGGTTTGACTCGGCCATGACCAGGGTTTAACTGGGGGTTTGCTAGATGTGTGGTCTAACCAGGACTTCAAGGAAACAAAGCAGGTCTTTGAACTTGGGTGTGCATGTCCGGTCATGGAGAATCAGGCGTGTCTTGTGGGCCTGTGGGCTGGTTCAACGTCGTGACCTCAGCATTTTCACAAACAAGCAAGCAAGCAAGCAAGCACGCACGCACGCACGCACGCAAGCAAGCAAGCAAGCAAGCAATTGCTTGCTTGCAAGCAAGAGAGCAAGCGAACGAACAAACAAGCAAACAAGCAAACAAGCAAACAAGCAAACAAGCAAACAAACAATCAAACAAGCAAGCAAACAAACTGCACAAACATATATGTTGTCCCCAACCATGACCCCCAACAAAATCCCCACCGAAATTGCAGTTCCCAACCACGAGCAACACGAGGCCATTTGGCACACCTAGAGATAAATCGGCATCACGTTGAAGGGGCCACCGTGTATTTTGTTAAATGCTGGGTTCATGAAAGTAATGGCCCAAAACAGCACAATGATAGTTCAGGTTTTCCACCGCCAAAGTTTAGAGAATCAACACATAAGCACATGCTCCCTTGCAGATGCCGAGAACCAACTACCATGGGACAATCAATGGTTGAACTATAGGTTGGAACTAACTAGGGGTTTTGGGTCGGGTGTGGCTAGATGTGTTTTTGGTCTTCTCGGTGGGTACCGTTTCAGCTTGGTTCTGGATTCAAAAGGAAAGCCAAACAACTCTCCTTTTTTGGGGGGGAGCATTTTTTTAGGTTTGGTGGGGGGGGGCACATTCTAAGCCACGCCCATGTCTGGTTTACCCACTTCACCAGTTGCCACTTGGTCGCGACGGCGATGCCTCAAAGGCGTCCAGCTCGTAGAGCAGGCGCCGCAGCGCCTGACCCTCCGCGGTCATCAGCCTAAGATCCCAGCTGAACCAGATAAGACCCAAAGGCTTGGGCATCCAGAAGTCCAGGTACTGGACTTCTGAATTCTCAGGGTTTTGTGTGTCCAAAACTGTTTGCAAAACAAAAGAGAGGAACACTGCACATCTAAGGGGCCAAGAAAGGCTTTCCTCGGCACCCGCTTTTCGAAAGGATTCAGGACAGGGTGCAGCCTCCGCTGTACCGCTGCAGCGGTGCGCAGCGCGAAGGCGTCCCCCATCTCCTCCTTCTGCTCCTCCCGAACAGGGGAAGGCGTTCCTTTTTGATGATGGACACTGAACGGGTCTATTTTGCAACCACCTTCTAGGGTGCTTCTTTTCCTCCAGGGTTGGCCCAGACTCATGGCCCAATGGCACGGGTACGGGCTTGGCCGGACCTCACCCCGAAAAATGGTTGGGTTCCTGTCATTTCCGTTTGTTCCAACCCGAATAAGGTTCCCTCAAGAAAGGACACGCCCATGTGGGCTCGGAGCGCTTTCAAAAACCCATCAGGTAGATGCCTTCGATGTACCGTGTGCATTATTCAAGTACAGTGTCATAATCGACACCCATTCGCCTGAGTCGCTTGAGGCACTTGCTCACTCGAGACACTTAGGTTGCTTTAGTCATTCGAGTTCACTGACCCAGTTGAGTCGGTTAGGTCCCTTCAACGGATCCCCTCTTGAGTCACTTGAGTCGCTATAGTGAGCTGAGCTTGCGCCCTTCAGTTGAGGCACTTCAGTCCCTCGAGTCAGTCGACTTGAGAGTGAAGAGTCACTCAAGTAAGTCATTTGCGCTACTCCACTCCCTTGAGTCAGTCGAGTGAGTTGGGTCTGTCTAGTCACCTGGGTCACCTGAGTCATCTCATCCTTGACTTTCAAGACTGGTCAGGGCTGCATCTCAACATGTGGCAAAGGCCAAGGCCAGACATGGATCGACACTGGTTGCCAGAGTCTTGTATGCAGGCGGGGGCCATTTAAGGGGTGGCTTCAAAGGGAAGCCAGAAGGCCCTTGTTTTCGGCTATGAATGAAGGCCAACAGGCGGCCATGTGCCCATGGCGGGTCCTTATCATCACCTGCCGCGAGCAATGTGCTCAAGCTGGTCCAGCTGATCTCCCCCTCCTCTCCCTGAGGCAAAGGCATCCCCACTTCAACGCAACGCTGGCCAGCCAGCCGGCATCAGGTGGTTTCCCCCGGCATCACCCGGCCAGCCAAATCAGATTTGTGCTGAATGTGCATGTGTTGTGCCCTACAAATCTTGAACATTTGTTTAGTGAATCCAAGTGACAAGCGCAGCTCCAGTTTCCGCAACGCTCCATACACGCTTAACCCTAACTGAAAGTTAATGTTCTATCGGCCGAGCTGCAGTGCTGACGTCAACCTTTGTGGATTAAGGGGATTTGGGGCCATTTGTTCATCCATTGTACTCATAGCCAACTTCGACACTGCATCTCGGCCTCGGCCGAATGCAGAATGACGAATTTGCCAGGGGTAGCGTACCTACCCAGGGCCTACCAGTGCTTCAAAACCCTGTCAGAGGGCATGTTTTACCCACTGGCGTGTTGCTCGAATCGAACCTGCTGGCCTCTAGGAAGACTCCTCGTAAATCTCGGGTGCCCTTGCGCGTGCGCGGGGACAGTAGCCGGGAGATGGCGAAGGGCAGGGACTTCTGGTATACCTCGGAGAGTTCTGGCTGTCCGAAACCCCTCCGGAGGGGACCTTTCCCTGAAAGTTTGGCTCGAATCTGCTACACATCGAAGACTAACCTTTTGGGGCCATGCCCCAAAGTGCATCGGGACCAGGCAGGAAGGCCCAAAGGTTTAAACCATTGAGCCGGTTCCTGGACATGTACAACTGCAAGTGTTTAAGGGGTACGTCCCAAGTAGTGGAAAAAGGGAAACTAAAGGGAAGCTGCACAGTTTAGGGTTGCCCTACGTTGAGGCAAAAGCAATTTGCTCCACCCCGCCCCTGGCTTTACAGTAGCAGGCACAACGGCCGAAGGCAACAGAGGGGCGCACAACTTGCCAAACTCGTGGCCCGCAAAGACGGACCAAACACGAATTGGCCTTCACCCACAAGATCACAAGGTACACTTCAGCGATAATTTGAAGATAGTGTCCATCATATGCAACATGTTCAGCAAAGAAACCATATGACGGTTGACATGTGCCCACCTGAAAACGGCGTTGTACTCCCCGCTGTGCAGTTCTCATTCGCATCAAGGACTGCCACTTGGCAGTTGTTTAGTCGAATCATCTGCTCGTTGCTTCGGCCACAGTTTGAGGGCTGACCGCTTGGGAGGTTGGCCGACTGGGACAAGCCATAGAACCATGGGTGTAACTTAAGTGGATTCAACTTAAGCCGGGGACCCGGACGCCCCGGCTTTGCATTTTGGTTCAACGCCCAAATATCAGACGTGGGCATTGATATCCACCAACCATTTTGCGGGGTTTCTCTGTTCGTGTTTACCTTGCATGAATCCGGACCATACACATCCGAAGCCCCCAAAAACTGAGTTCATTCTCCAAAACGGGAACTACCTCTGGTTAGTTTAGGACTCCGGATGGCTTGGGGGGAGCCAAAAAGGGCCGTTTTCCTTTGCCAACCCCACAGTACCCTCAAACACAGACCTCCCCGGCTGAATCCGAGGTCATTCAAATTTGTGGCAGGCGCGTTGTAGGTCTCCGCCATGACCGGGTCATCCGCCAGCAGCCCCTCGAGCGTGATGAAGGTCCGGCAAAGCAGCGCGATGAAGGGCGGGGTGAGCATCAAATACCTGCGATGGGGAACACCCAAACTCCCACCAACTTCAAAAAGAAAAAAGAACAAGCGGTCTCTTTTTGTTTAAAAGATGAAGCAAAATGCGAATATCCAGCCGAGAAAGCGACGCGCATGTGCACGCATATAAATAAACTATATATATATATCTATCTATACAGATTTATGTGCGTGCCTAATAGGTGGAGTTGGTAGCCTTTTGAGAGGTGTTGAAAAGCTCAGGAAGCTCAATAACGCCAAGCTTTTTCGGGCTCACCTATTCGACATCCATAGGCACCCACCCTACCCGCTGTGGTTTAGATTCTGGGGCGAAAGGACGGTATCCAACCCGCACGTGTATATATATATATATAAAATCTGTGATATATGATGTATATGATTTCCCTTGTTGACCCCCCAAAAAAATGAATTGGTGGGGGAGGCGGGGGGGGGCACATGCCCAACCAGATTTGCTTCAAGCTTAATATCCATCATCTTGTTGCGAATCAAGGCTGCCCGGAATCCCGAGAGAGGATCCTTCACGGCGTGGTGCAAATCAAACGTTGTGGTTGTTGGCAAGGGTCCTCACTCCCGCATCCCAACTGCAAACATGTGAACATACCAGTCGGCCAAAGTGGGTGTCCAATTAGGGAACCGGCCACGGAAGAGAACAAGGCCTCCAAAGGGCCCAACGCTAAATCCCCCTATGAATTTGGATTCAGGCACAGAGGTTTCATGCCAGTCCCTTCAAAACCAATAGAACCACCTTCCCTCACGCCAAATTGTTCCTGTGTGGAATTCCTGTCTGGCTTTCTCGGTGCTAAAACGGGGTGTCGAACAATTGAAACATGATCCATCCCCTTTTGCTTCCCTTCAGGGGAAAACAGTCATGGTCTGCTTGGCCGCAGTGTTGCGCTGATAGTCAAGGCTTGGAACATCGGACAAGTAGGACAAAGCCTTCAATCTGACCTGGGACTTCCTGTTCTCTAAAGCTGGAACCCTCATTTCACTGGCCTCCCCTTGGTCCCCCTTAAAAAGGACCCACCCAAAAGGACACCCCCACCATCCACCACATCCACCTATTCTACCACTCCAAGCAGGAGTCCCTCCCGCCATCTCCCCATCTCCCAGCACCGCCGATTGCCACCGGTGGCCACCGGTCGGACGTCCGATCCCCGGCCCAGGCGAGGGCGCCGGTCCGAGAGCTTCTTCAGGGCCACCGCCATGGCACCGAAGCGGCTCTGTCCCCCCGCCTGCGGGCTTGCGGTGCGGGCGGTGCGGGTTTGGGGGCATCGAAGCGGATGGCTTCGGAGGGGTTCGGATGGGGAGAGAAAGGCTGGGGACCACAGGGTTTTTGGCGATTTTCGCATAGAGGCCCTGGCAACAGGAGGACCGAGTTGGGCAAGTTTTTTGGGCACGCGGTCCGGTTGTGCCAAATCCTTACTTGATGGGAAACCAATCTTGCAAGTTCAGATTTGTTCAACGCTTAACAGCCTGATTCAGGGACAAAGGTTTAGGAGCCTTGAAAGATTCACCAGGTTTTGTTATTTTTCCCTTTCGCTTTCCTTCTGGCCCGACGTATGACTTGACTTGGAAGAACAGCTCTCGACTAAACTGATCCAATCCTCTTCCTTCGGTGGCTCAAGCTACTCTTGCCACTCGACGCTTCCAACTTGGTCTCCCCAAGCATTTGCAGGTCTTACCATCAAGATCGCAACCCCTAGCATGCGTATGTCCTGCCATGGTGGCCATTGAGGTTCGTCCCCTGCGCCAAAATGCGCCACCTTTCGTTGTTTTTTCAGGCCACACTCCTTCCAATACTCAGCAGGAGGGTTTTGGAAGACTGCTGGCCTCTTGGAAAAGCCCCACAACGTCCACTTCGATTGAGGAGTAAAACTCGCGGGTGTCCACACTCGGCCCTGTAAAGACACAACCTAAATGTCCACCCCGGGTTGTTGGCCGCTGGTGGTCCTTGTTGCATGGAGGTGCCTTCTGTCTTTTGAACCCGTTTCCCTCTGCTTTCGATCAAAACACACAAGCAGCGCAAGAGGTGCCTTCCAGCTGGGAGAAAAATCCAGGTGCAAAGTGCCGCGGTCATTCTCTAAATACTTCGATGCCTTGATTGACGCGTGGCCGCATAGCAATACATCAATATACATCAATGTTGCAAACTGAGCCGAATGGAGAGCTACAATCCTCTCATAAAATATCGCACCGCCACGCACCGGTGGCAAGAAAACAGAGGCCGTGGCGCAAAATTGTACATTTCTATGTTGAAGTCCATCATTGAAACCCCTGGCTGTACTTCCAATGGAGAAAAAAACCAACGGTCTTCATCACTCGAAACTTTTTGCGAAACGGACAACCCGCCGGCTTAACGTCGGCACCTCCTTCTCCAGCTGCTCTGCAAAGGCCTTGCCCGGTGATCCCAGTGGAACCCTTTGGCTTGCGTGCAAACCGAAGGGAGCCACTGCACAAGGGAAAAGGAAGTCGAAAAGTTTCAGACACAAATCTCCAAAGCCAAACGGGGAAAGAGAGGCATGCAGGAAACCCAAGCCGAAGGGGTTGTGAATGTGGGAAGCTTCGGTACCCAAGGCCAAAAGTCACACGCCACCTTCATTTGGCATCACCCGAAAACTGGGCAGCAAAAGACGAGCCCGGCAATGTGCAACAGTAGGTGGCAAACCAGTCCAGCCCAGCGGGGGCCGACCCCTGCCCCTGAAATGTGAAACCTCAAGCACAGACTCGAGGCCAGCTTTTGGGGAAATACAACAAACAGCATGAGCGAAGTTCCGACCTGCCCAAGACCCAAAACTCAAATAACAAACCAAACAGAATTCCACGACAAAAGCTTCGCAGTCAACCAACAGGACAAGGGGCCTTTTTTGCTGGATAATTGCATCAACGGGTGGTTAGCACATGGCTGATCATCAAGGCATGCTTTCCTGGAGGGTTCATGAGGGTTCCCTACATTCTCCGTTCAAACATGACTCCGATCAACATTGGCCAGCTGGCGGCGTTTCGCGCGCCAGCGAGCGAAAAACGACCCCTGCAGTTACGCAAGGAAATGAAGTAAGGGTGTAACTTTCATAGGAATCGGTCCCGCAAAATGGCAAGGGTGTCCTTTTCATGTCCCCTCAAATGCCAAAAAGGCCTCCACCTTGAGCAACTCCCTGGATAACTCTCCGCCCCTTTCGCGCCTCAGCAAAGTCCTCATTGCTGCAGGGCTCATAGCGCGGCACGTCGGAGCTCCCATAGTCCAGGTTTCTGGGAAGGGAGGTTAACGAAAACTCGACTTTGAAGGAAGACGATGGGCGCAATTGGGCGGTTCGACCCGATGTTCCTTCTTGGCCTTCGTGGCATGTTCTCAACGGCCTGCAAGTTGAAGGCGCGTTCTCTTGGCGAAGGTGTGGCTCAAAGCTTTGGATGTGCCAGCGGGGACACTGACCATTTGAAGTACCTGCTCTTAGACTTCTGAGTTGTGTAAGCCCAAATCAGTCCAAGTTGGAATGTTGAATTGAAGCTGCGCAAGCTAAAACTATCGCAAGGAACATGAAGGCGTCCGTTTTTCTGAGGGGTCTCTTTCTGGCGCAAACAACTGATCAAAACATCGCGGCACAGTCACATTGACTTGTAGCCCGTCACATTTTATCTGGAAGCTGCCTGTGTTCAAAGCCCGAAATTAGAAGCCTTGATAAGCGGCACTTTCAATGGAGAGCTCGTCCATTCGCAGTGTGATGGCCGGTATCTACCGTGGAAGCCCCAGACTTACCTGAACATGCCACCAAACAAAGCCGAAAAATGTCTTGTGGCTAGGGTCAGTTCGAGAACTGCGTCGGCCTGGCACAGTGCAATCCAATCTGACAAGATTGGCCAGGTGCGCATGCCATTGATTCATGGATCCTGCCCGGTTTGCCAACTGGTCCGGTTGGTGAATCAACGTCGCCAGCAAAACGGGCAGCGGGATCGCAAATTGGAAGCCATTTTGAAGTCTGGCAGTGCTTCCCTTCGCCGAGATGCCTGTTTGACGCGACTTGAGAACGCCTCCCGTGCACATTGCAAGCTGGGCGCTTCTGCATGGGTGTCGGGGTGAAGCGAATCGCCTGGAAGGTATGCGTCAGCTCCACCCAATCCTCCGAGGCAAATTGGCGAACTTGAGAAAAACCCCACAACCCCGGATGGGACCCTTGCAGGGATTTGGGATTTTCTTTTAGGCCCAGCACCAGCACTGCAAACACAAACTTGAAGCCTCCCCGGTATTCCACAACTGTTCCGGCAACACCATGCCAAAACAACTCAATCATTGTGCTGAAACGCTTGCCCATGTCAGACTTGGAACCAAGCTGCATGGGGCAAAAACAAGCTCGTGTCCTGTTTGGTTTCCGCACTCAAGGGCCTGCTGTCAAGGTTGACCACCCCCCTGTGAGGAACTAGTACAGTTGACATTGCACCTGGCGAGTCATATCTGCAGCCCTAGGACCAGGGGACTCCCGGCAGCTGAAGCTATTAAACACCATTCCCGCAGGCTGCGAAAAGGAAAATCGAAGGAGCCTTGAGCCCTTCTTCCCTTTTCGGGGGTCGAATCAAAGGACCAAAGCGTCCTCTCTTTTGAGTCTCGTCGAAGTCGGCGCAACCCTGTGCACGCGTTCTTTGCTAGAATCACCGTGTTCCACATAATGTTTCGTTGGCCCTTTGATGGCCTCCGACCCCTTGCACACACTGACGCTTGCTGCTTGGCAAGCCAACACGCACACACCCCTCCCAAATAAAGGGACGAGCAAGACAACCAAGCAAGCAACCAAGCAAGCACCCAAGCAACCCACCAACCAAGCAACCCACCAACCAAGCAACCCACCAACCAAGCAACCCGCCAAGCAAGCAAGCAAAGCAAATGAACCACTTGGAATTTCTCCCATCCTTGTTCAGCACGTGCCGCACCCCAGCCGCGCACTGCTCCATGATGCCGAAGTCCACCCGGTCCATGAGACCGAAGTCCTCTCATCCCCAGACCAAAACCACCAGCTACCACCCAGGCTGGCACTTCCCTTAAAACAAACCAAGCCCCCCCCCCTTTTTGGGAAACGGTGGCTGACAAATCGCGGTTCATCCAGGTGGAATGCTGGCACGGAAAACACACAAAAACAGATCGCTACAAGTGGTTCTGTTCAGATGTACCTTCTGGAGCGTTGATTTAGGATGAGCAAAGGGCGTGGGCAAACAACTGAGGGTCAAAAAAACAAAAAAACATCAAAGTTGCGACGGGAACCTGACTATAGCGTCTTTCGAACGCTGGGGCGTTCAAAGCCAGTGCAAAAATGTGCCACAAACAATCAAAGCAAAACAACACAAGCTAAACAACAGAACAATACAAAGCAAAGACAACACAGCGCAAACCTAAACAAGCAAAGAAGCAAAAAAACGAAACCAAACAAAGCAAGCAAGCAACAAACAAGCCGGGCCAATTTGTTTAAGGACCCACCCACCTCACTGGGCGTTCGCGGGGCCGAATCTAAGCGGCAGAAGTTGCCCAAAGACTGCGTGCCACCCGCTTCTGGTTTCCAAAGATATGGTACAGTCATCCGAACCCCCTGAATTCCCCCTCCCCACCCTTTGGCCAATTTCAATTCTACTCTACCCAGTGCCTATCCTCTTACAATCCCCAAACCCCCCAAGCCCCCTCTACCCCCCGCCCAGTCCAGGAAGACCACTCGCCCGTCGTCCCCCATCCGCAGGTTCCCCTCGTGCGGGTCCGCGTGCACAAATCCGGTGACCAGCAGCTGCACCACGCAGGCCTCCACCTAAGCGGAAGCATGGGTGGCTCGGTGGATCTGGTGGGTGGGTGGGTGGGTGGGGTGGGGGTGGGGTTGGGGTGAAAGGAAGCTGGGCACTTAGGATTTGCAGCAACCCTCTATTGAGCGTGTGTTGAAAGAAGAACCCACAGGATGACTCACTTTTGGAAGCATTTCAAGGCTCAATTGGGAAGCCTTAATTTAATGAACCAGATTCGAAGCTTCAATGACGGCGAGATGCTTTCCACTTCTGTGTGAAAATGGTTTCACCCAGACAGAAAGGAGGGAATTAGTTCAGAAAACACCTGTGCAATTTCCGGCAAAATCGCTACCCAATGAAGTCGACGTCTGGACATGCGGGGGCCCATTGATTCCTAAAATTCTCTGTGAAAGCCTACAATAAATAACATAAACTACGAAGAAGCGACGCCATGGGATGCGATTTCACGGCTTCAGCCTGTGCATCTTCTGCCTATCGCAAGTTGCATGCATGAACCCAGCTTCGTTGGGTCACGCTACGTGAAACTCTGGGAAGTCTGAGCGCTTTTTACCCCCCCCCCGCCAAAAAAAAACCGAGTCGAAATTATGAGACCGACCATGGCCTGCAAATCACTAGTTTGACCAAACCCCGCAAAAGCTAACTTTTGCTAGCTGCTAGTTGAGAGGGGGAATGAAGGAAAACCCAACTAGCAAACCGTCTCTAAGCTAAGTCTGGCAAACGTTGCGAGCCCAATGTCCAAGTCCCAGCTTCGTATGCAAAATGATTAGCTCACCCCTTTGGACCGTGGAATCGACGGAAATTCCAAACAATTGAAGTCAACACATCTTTTAGCAGGCTGCCCCAGTAGCAACACAAAGACATGCCAGAGCGCATTCAGTCAGCCGGAAATTCCGCACCCCCCCGACCCCCGCCCCGATTTCCCCATGTTGGGTTCAGCACCAAGGCGCCGCCATCTCCACAAGTAGCCGCCGCTCCTCCACAGGGAGCTCCTGACAAAGCGTCTGCGACACGACTCGGGTAAAAGGGTGTGCCCTTCTCGGAGTTGCCCCTGAGCTTGGGCTGGGCAATCACAAGCCATCCATTCGGGACTCCGAATCCCGATCACACATACCCAAAGCTTGGCCAATCCACTTTTCCGGTTCCCGCGACTAAATCCTCAAAGGAATAAGGATTTGCTTTGCATGAGCCCCTGCAGGAAAGCTCCCTGTTCAGTGGACGTGCTAGAATCTTCTACATGGCAGTCTCAAAGATGTCGCGTCTTTTTCAGAGGAAAAGAAACACGGGCTATCCCAACCACGTGGTACTGCTCGGAAATCATATCCCGACGCCTTACAAGCAACGAACAAGGCACCTTCCGGGCTACCAAGCCTTTCGGCCTAGCGCTCGGTGGATACCGGAAACGCAATCCATCGTCACACCCCGCCAAGGGACCACCAATCGAGGGGCCCCGGACCAACCTAATTGGACTTTCCCAAGTTTGATGCTTCAACCGTGGCACTCATCTTGTTGGTGGCCTCAACTGTTGATTGAAAACGCCTCATTCTCCGGCCGGCGACGATGTGCCACGCGCGCGCGCGCGTGTGCCCTCTCACGTCACACACCGGGCGCCGATCATACGCGTCCTTTGGTGAGCGGCTGGGATACCAATTCAGCGCCAGCACGCGGGAGCCTGGCAGGGCCAAAATTCAGTCTGCAAAAGGGCTGGTGGTGGGGTCAGACACCAATTTTCATAGATGAAATGGGTTCGTCTGAGCCCGTCTTCACTATAAACCACAGTCGTCTAACCCCTATCTTAAATGGGTTGAAAGAAAACCTACACAAATGCCATGAAGGTGTCAACCATCTCTGTTTCTTGCTCGTCAATCTTGTCACTATCTCGCCCCAAATGGATGGTTGCGGCAGCTTCAGCCGCAGTGTGTCGTTTTGCTCTGAAATTTGCAAGCCTTGTGTTTGGCATGTTGTCCTGTTAGAGCTTGGTTTCTTGATGGGCATGATGGGCTGTATACGCTGAAGCCAGCGTTTTCATCTTGCGGCCAAGGACAAGCCCTTTCAATGTTAAGCTTTTGGATGACATGTCAACCAGCTGAATGCGACGCTGAATGCGTGCAGGCCGAGGCATCTCAACATGGATTCAAGGAGTTGCGGGAGTGCGTTGTGCTGTGTTCTGTTGCAGTGGCGAGACGAAGGCCAACGAAAGTAGAACACACTGAAGCTGATGGAGTTAATGGCGTTGCTTGTTTCCATCAAAAGGGAATGCCAATTCATGCGAGTTCGCTGGGACGGGGGTTGGTGGCAAAATGGTCGTCTGAGCGCAACGTCAGACTCGCCCATTTCATAGGATGGCGTATGCTGGACCCGGGGGGGTGTCCTGCTTTCCACAGACCGCTTACCCGTTGCCCCCTGGAGGGGAGGCACGGTCGACTGGGACCACAAGTCTTTGTGAAATGCATCCGTGTGACGTCGCGCTCAGACGGGCTTTCTCATAGCAACCACTTATACTGTGTTCGCAGCTCAACGCGTTCTCGCCTGTCAGACTCACCTTTTCAATTGTTTTCGGTCACACCCTACGTGTTGAAGTTGAACCTGACTTTGCCAGGACGCACGCGCAAACTTCGAAGTGCAGACGCACCCGCAAATTCCGCAGATCTGACCTTGGATGAAAGCTCATGGAGCACTGGGAGGCTCTACTAGCATGTGACGTGTTTGTTGTCCCTGCAAATGTCATTTGGCAGGTTTGACTTGCTCACAGTTTCCAACCCGGTTTGCATATGGTTTTGGTGCATCCCACATGGACTGCATACAACTGACCAGGCATAGGATTTTGTTTGCCGCTTTCACCTTTTCAGCGGTCGGCCAGGTCTAACAGGCTCTTTGCAGCAGTTTCGCTGAAGCTACGTAGCAGCAGCAGTAGCAGCAGCAGAATTAGCAGCAGCAGCGGTATTGGTGGTAGCACTGCTACCGTGCTAACTGCCCCTTCTCCCACACTAACTTACCAACTACCCCTTCCTGCGGTTCCACTCTACCTTGTTAACTTATTAACGTGCGAACAGCCGCCAAGAAAATGTCATGTTGGCTTGCCATCAAGATTGGCCGAAATCTCTCTCTCTCTCTCCCAGTTAAGCCTGCTGGTGCTTAGTAGGGAATGACCCAGACTGCCGGGAATGAACCTGGGGATTCCCCAACAGGAAACCCAAGGGCACCGTTTACAGTATCATTCCCTTCCCCGGCAAGTAAGCCACGCCATTTCCGAAATAAATCTCAGACTCGCTCGATCCGGTCCGAGCCTGGAGGACCCATGAGCTCCTTCAAGATCCCCGGCGAGGTCACAAAGGGCAGAAAGGCGTGGCGCAGCGCAAACTCCTCCGCGTTCGCCTTGGTGCCGCGCGGAAACACGAAAATGTTCAACAAATTGCTGTCTTTTTTCTTGGTACTAAAGGGAAATGAAAAGACCACCATTTTGGAGTGGGGAGTTAACATAAAAGAGACAGACGCAAAATGCCTGTCCGTGGATTTGCGTTTGAAATCCAAGTTCATGGTTCTCGTTGGCTGTTCCTTTGAAGCCCCAAAATGTTCCTCCAAAACTACCTGAGCATGGGCGGTTTTGCTGGGGTCTTCTACCCCAACCAAAACCCCCCCCAACACTACCCCCAAATGGTTGGTCTCGGGGACTTGCCTGCAAAAGTACATCGCAAAGGATAGCACTTCAACACATGCTGGAGACGATTCCGTGGATTCCGATGCGGGTCCGCTTTGGACCCGTTCGCATGTGTTCATCTGCACTGGACTGCTCTTTGGTCCACATAGAAGGGTGTCCTTAGCCGGCCACCCTGTGACTAAGTATTTGCCGCCGACGGCAGTTCAGCCTTGCAGCACAACTCCGTTTATGTTTGAAACTCAGGCAGTTGCTCAAAAAATACCCCAGAATCCGGACTCCGGATTTACCAACCTTTCTGAAACTAGAAGGATCTCAAGACAACCATTCTAGACGCCGGGTTCTCATGCACATACTAAAACATCACGTCTTCCAAACATTTGTGATAGACGCCGGCGCTCGAGGTTAAGTTGTTGTTTTCAAGAAGCCATGTGGGTTCCGCAAGTTGACGCGCACGTTCAAGAGCCCTCAATTCGGGTGACCACCTGTTGGCCACATTTCCTCGCACATTCAAACGCACCCCTGCCTGCAACCATCCGCGGGCCAATTGACGCGCACAGTGCGCGCCAGCAATGTGATGGCATTGAAGCAATCCGGCTGCCAAGATCAACCATGAGCGGGCACCTGATTCTCTGACTACCGCCCATGCATCCATAATTCAGGCCTGCACCTTCCCTGTCGCAGCACCTTACTAAGAACAAACAACCAAAATAATGTTCACAGCAGCGATGTCTCGCCGCGGAAAACCCGACCTGGGCGTTTTACATGCAGCAGGCTGCATAGCCATGGGTTTGCCTTTTGGGCGAGCCCCAACTTGGGAAGTTTCCTTTTGGCGTTCCTTAAGCCAACCCTGCAACAAGGACACCCCGGAAAAAACATGCTCTCAGCCGCTCCTTTGAGCGTGGGCCCCCGCCGCCCCCGCCTCGCACACACCTACCGGCCTGTGATGAGGTTCCTTCCCCTGAAAACATCTCCAGGGAAACTCACCGAATACACACAACAGGTGACATCTTTACCACCAGAAACATGGGGAACTCTACAGTACGCCCTCGAGGGAAGCACGGGGGCTCCAAATAGGAGAGCCGTTGTGGGGGTTCCAAGGAAGCTTCCCAAAAACGGCAACCGCTTCCAAGGGTCCCAGGGAAAAAACATCGGTTGAACCCCCAAAACCTCCGAAGCCAACCTCCCACGGCTCCATTCGCTGGCCTTCCGCTGGCCGAGGCGCGGCCTCGTTGTAGTAGTCCAGCTCCATGCGCACGCCCCGCGCCACCGTGTCCACCACGGCCCCATAGTCGTTTGGAGAACCGACCAGCGCCTGGTAGCTCCTTGAGAGGACAAGACGAGGCAGGGGCTTGAGGGACACAACTTCAAGTCGATCCCAGGGAAAAGTGCACCCCAATGTATGCATAGCTTCAAAACACGTGCAAATGTAAATGCACATATGCGTGCGCGTATGCATGCATGTATGTATACCCTTGTGTGCGTGTTCTTTACCCTTGGAACTCCTATGCCCACGGCTTTGACGACTAAGTTCCTGGCTCCAGGTTGGATGGGCCATCGAAAGCGGCAACCGAAAACTCGTGACCGGGCCCTCAAGACCATTGCCGATTTCGAAAGGAAATTGCTACAGTTCTGCATAAATGTTGTCCTCAAGTGTCATCCGTTTTGGGGAGTTCCCCTACGTTGGCTTCGTCGACGTTCAACTCCTGAACCTCGATCACATCTTGTCTGCAATCATTTTTGTAAAGACGTCTCACATCTTAACCGATGTCCCGACACGAACCCAAACGCAAACCAAAACCTGCTTGACGCACTCTTTTTGGAAGAGAGGCTACCTGGACGCCATAAAAAGCGATTCCAACATCCCATCCCCTTGTTGCAACCTTTTGGAGGAGGAGGTGTGCAGCGGAAGTAGTTCGTTGACTGGATATTCTGAGGGGTTCTCAGATTTACTTCTGGAGGTTGTGTCGCCCTTGAAACAGCCATTCAGAGGGTTTGTTTTTTTGCAATGGACCCTTACGTGCCCTTGTTGGACAATTTGTGCCCTGAGGTACGTGCTCAAAATTACCCTCTGAATGGTCATTTCAATCAACAACTCCGCCCAAAAGTAAAACCCCTGGCCGCATTTGGCGGGCAGCCAATGAACCACTTCCCCCACGGACTCATGAACCTCTCCCATGAATAGCAGGGGCTTTTTGCAGGGGGGGGGGTCTAAGTCCCTAAAAGGGGCCGAAGGCAAAGGGGTCTGAGTCGCCAGGAAACCCCCGCCCAGTTCTCCCCAAATCAAGCAGTCTTCTAGAATTGACTTCCCCATTCTTTCCAGGGATCCTTCATTCTAGAAACCCACCAAAATTGCTGGGGAAATGGTGATCGGTTTTTGAAAAGAACGATGGCTCAAAAGAATGGAAAAGGAATCAACCCCTAGAATCTTGGTGCTCAGTAGGGGATGAGGAAATACACCCAGAAGTGGCCCCTTAGAGTCCGGAAACGCCCCCGCCCACTTCTCCCCAAAAATCCGCCCGTCGGCTCTGTCCTGGAGACCAAGGTGGCCACCGCCCAGTCCAGGCCCAGCACCTCCCTCACCCCGGGGCGCTGCACCTTCAGGGCCACCTCCCGGCCGTCGTGGAGTCGGCCCCGGTAGACCTGCCGCTTCTCAGGGCAACAGGACAAGCGGGATTCGGGAGGCGGGGTGTTCGGGTCTTGGCGGACTTTCGGAACTGTTTTGAGGGCTGGTGTTGCGGGGAGTTGGTGTTGCACAAGCTGGAGAAAACGGCTTCGAGAGGTTAAAGGGCGAAACTGTTCTGGTGTGCTGGGTCGGGTGCTTGATAATGTCTCCCTTCCCCTGAAAATCCACTGTTCTGTGGGGGATGTGGGGATGGCGCTTACTGATCAACGGACGGCAGGAGAATGTGCTCAACAGGCAAGAAAGCAAACCAACCACAAAAGTGGGCTGGAAATGCAGGACAGGTGCTTCTCCAATTTCAGTGCAAAGGTCAGATGATGTCAGATGTGCTGGGTCAACTTCCCCAGCAAAACCATCTAGTTCCGTTTGAGGCCTGAAGCATTCCTGGCGGGGTCACCTCCTGCTCCAACATCCCCTTCAGAATCCCCAGTTAGGCATCCTGCGCCACGAAAAGCTCAACATCAAGGCCGGCTAAATGACACGCCGTACCTCGCCAATGCGCGCAAGGATACCTCTGAAAAAGACGCAGCTTGATGTCATTTTCTCACCCCCCAGGCCGGGCGACCTGCAAAATCAGCTGTGGACTGCTCGTGGCGCGAGCGCGGGCATAGTTGAGCAACCAACGTGATCTACACATGGGCGGCGGCTACTGGACATGGGCAAAACACTGGTTCACGTCAAAAAATCCTCAACAGCTGGTATCGTACAACATGTCCGGCATGGCTTCCCAGAACCTCCGCACCTATGCGTGTCCTTTTGGGCAATGCATATACATTCCCAAGGAGGTTTGATATAAACAGCACCGCAGCATTTTCACTCCAAGCGATGCGATGCGAATCTAGATAACCCACCTTTTCCTGTGGGATTTGCGTTGGTATCCACAGCATGAATTACCTCATGCTGTGGCCCAGTCAATTCGCCGATTTCCTCGGCACCTCGGGTTTACCCCCGATAAGCTCTGGATGCCCTGCATCAAGCAGAATGCATCTCCCACCACAGAGCTACCTGACTGACTGGGGGCCTGGTCCCCCAGGCATTCCCCAAGCGCGGCGCGCTCTTCAAAGATCACGGTCCCAACGAAAGGGGCCGGTGATCTAGGGCGGGATAGGGTGGGGTCAAAAATAGCCAGTTTGGGTCATCCTTGAGCCAAAAGGCCCAGCATGATCCAATACACTCCTTGCAGAATGAAGCCTGTAAACCCAAGCCTTCCAACCTGACACAGGATTACATTCCCAAGGAGGTTTGATATAAACAGCGCCGCAGCATTTTCACTCCAAGCGATGCGATGCGAATCTAGGATTTGCGTTGGTATCCACAGCATGAATTACCTCATGCTGTGGCCCAGTCAATTCGCCGATTTCCTTGGCACCTTGGGTTTACCCCCGATAGCTCTGGATGCCCTGCATCAAGCAGAATGCATCTCCCAAGGCACTCACTCTCTCAAAAACCCCCAATGCACTCACAGGAACTCAGCAAAGGTAATCACCGCTCGGTACGGAAGCCTCAGTAGAGCTGGAGGGAAAAGACTGAAGGACAGCTTGAAGTGGTTGGCCTGGCACCATGGGTCCCTGGGTCCCAATCGGCTGATCGCATCAGCCCAATTGGATTTGGATGGAATGTACTCCCAGTAAAGGGAAGCGCGTAACGCAAAGAGCAAACACTGAATGTACGTCGCCATCTTGGCCAAGTCGGGGTTGTCGCTCCTGCCCCGAATCAAACACATAAGACTGGCGATGTTGTCAATGAACCACACTCCGCGTCTCCCGCGGAATTGGTCGGGCCTCGCCGTGAGGGCGTGCACCACCATGAATAGCTCCAACTGGGCGATCTTGTGGTCGCCGGGTCCCCACCTGTGAAGGGATGATGGCCACAAAGGCCTCCCGGACCTGCACATTGCCGTCCTGGAAGACCAGGTGGTATCCGCCGGACCCTTGTCGAGGGGCCTCCAAGGCCGCGTCCGAGGCAGCCACCACCCTCGGCACGTCCATGGGCAAGACCATCAACTCCCTCCTTGGTCGACTGATGATGGCCTCCAACACATCAAAGGCAGACAGGAGGCTGGTACTGGCTCGGCTGGAGCCCCCGTATTGGTGACCCTTCAACGCCTGGATCTCGCCCAAACCGATGCGCCCAAAGAGGCCATGCTCCAGGAAGTTGACCATACCGTAGAGCTTCGCGGCTTGGCCCGGGGTGAACTTCCCGCTCTTCCTGGCGTCGCGCATGAAGCTGAGCACCTTCTGTTCGAGTCGCTCTCGAACCCAAAAGCGCGCACGTCCATGCGTGTGGATCTCCGAAAGGCCGAAGTCGAGTCCCAAGAAGGTACCAACTTCTGCGGCCCCCTGGCGCTTTTCCTCGGCGAACGGGGTGCCCAGCAGGTCATTGAGGACGCCAAAGCTCCGGGCTGACGGGCCATGGACTGCACGATCGGTGATGTGGCTGTCATCAAAATACATAGACACCATGATTGCCAGAAAGCGCCTACCCATAGCTTCCGCCATCCGAGAGTAGCGGTTGAAGGAAGTGACCGCCAACGAAAGGCCGAACAAGAGGGCGTGGTACACCTGAAAAGCGGGCCCCTGCCATTCCTGGTGGTACCGCACCACCACACAGGCCAAAGCCTCCTGGCGCGACATGGGACAGTGGAGGTAGGCATTCGCTGCTGCGCGAACCGCTCCCAGGCGCACTCCTGAAGGCAGGCCGCGGCGGCTTGAACGTGGAGAGCAGGGCGGGGCGGTGTGCGCAAAACTAGTTTGTTGGCATCTCTTGACGATGCGGATTGCCCGCCCCGTGCTGCGTCGTCAATCAGACGCTGTTTGCCGGAGGCCTGTGTGATGACACTGCGAGGTATGAGCCGGTAGGGGTCCTCTTTGGCATACAGATTGAGCTGGCACAGGTTCATCGGGGGGGTGCAGAAAAACCCCTCCTTGTGATCCTTAGTGGACTGCTCAAGGACAAAGGCGTCGGTGGAACCCGGCCGCACGCGCGCGATGGGAGGGCGAAGTCGCCCCGCTGCATACGGACGACGAAGAGTCCCAGCAAACCCAAATCACGCTTCGAGGTAACTCCTCGGATGGCCTCGGACTGGAAGGTCACGAGGTGCTTAGACACCGGCGCCCACCTGCGCTTCAGCTCCTTGATGGCGCCGATGGACGCTCGCCGACGTTCCTTCAAGTTGTGATTGTCCATCACCATGCTAGCCGCGTACCATAGGTCGTCATCCAACGTGGGAAGAACTTCCAGCGGGCTTGCCGCGGTGGTCCATTGCAGGGGTGATGAAAAATGGGCGTCTGGGTCCAGCCCGTATCCTACCAGAGGTGGAATGGAGGCCTTGTGGTTGTAGGCTCCGTGCTGCTTGCCCTCCGCCAGGCGCTGCCGCCTCCGACTAGCGTTGGACGAGGAGGGCGGTCCCAGAGGTCCATCCCACTCCATCCCGTGACTTTGGCGCCAGTCCAAGTAGCACGTGAAGGGCTCCTCCATCATGGTCTCCTCCTGCAGTGCTTGCTGCCTCAACGGGTTGGATAGATCGTGCCCCGCGTCCAGAGACCAGTCGATGGGCAACACCCTCCAGCCACAAAACAGAAAAGCCTTTGCCAGGAGCATGTTGGGACCGCACATCAAGTCGATCATCAGCGGCCCGTCTTCCTGGGATCCAGTGTGGGGGTGCGAGAGTTCTGACCCTATGGGGGAGTCCCCCTCTGGTGGAAGCTCTGTCCAAGGCGGGCATCGCCAATCTGGAAGAGTTCCGATTCTTCTTCGACGCCGAGTCCAAGGTGGAACCTTGGCTTGGCAAGATCCAGTTGGGAGCGGAAGCATCCATCCAGGCAGCCAGATTGCGGAGAGCCTGGCATGCGGTTTCGTTGTACTATAAGACCGCCGAGCAGGACCGCTCGCGGGTCGCTATCGAGGATCTCGATTCAGGTCGGCCAAGGAAGCTTTTTGGGCACGTTACAGTGACGCGGCCGTGTCCAGGGCCTCCAGGGAAATGACCAAGCGGCTCCTTTGCGTGACATCGGTCTGGAAGGTGAGAACCTTGCAATGGCAGCTCGGGACCTCTAGCAAGAAGCGCAAGCTTGGAAAGGGCTTGTGGACAGGAGCCGGACGATGAGCAGCCCGGGCACCAGGACTGGGAGACGTACCTGGACAGGCTCTTCACGCTGCTGCTGGCCTATGCCCTGGGAGGAATCAAAGCACTGGACAACGCGCCCGCTGCCAAGGAGGAGGGCGCTCTTGGGGCAGACACCACGAAGTTCGTTCTCCTGCCGTTGGACGTGGTGACCGCTGCCACGCAAGAGCCCGACGAACCTCGGCCAGCCTGCCTCATGCCAACCGTCTCGCATGGCTCCAGCAGAGAGACACTGAGGAGAGGGCAGACTGGGTCAGCCGCTTCAGGGAGTCCACCCTGACGCTGGGCCAGGTCATCAAGGCCACATACCCGGCCGGAAATTTTTCGGCTCCTGCCAAAGAGCGCCAGCAGGGGACACCTGCCAAGCCCGCGGCACGGGGAGGCAAGCCCCCATTGGCGAAGCCTATTGCGGGGAGAGCGGTCGCACGAGCCATGGGAGGTGGCACAGTGCTATGCCAAGCTTTCCAGCACGGGCAATGCAAGGCTGACAGGGTCTGCGGGATGCAGAACCACGGAGCCAAGGAGTCTGTCCAGGCAATCGGCCCCGTCTGACGGCCCGTGATGCCCCTGCTGCAGCAAATAGTCCACATGGCGCTTGAAGTCGAGGTAGGCGCCTGTGGATAAGATAGGACGATCCGTATGACTTCTGGGACGGCCAACATTCGACAAGTAACCCTTGCCGAACACGCAAAAACCAGAAGTCAAAAATAGCCAGTTTGGATCATCGTTGAGCCAAAAGGCCCAGCATGATCCAATCTGTAAACCCAAGCCTTCCAACCTGATACAGGATTACATATATATATATATGTGTGTGTGTGTGTATGGACTTACTATGTATCTATCTATCTATCTATCTGTCTGTCTGTCTGTCTGTCTGTCTGTCTGTCCATCCATCCATCCATCCATCCATCCATCCATCCATCCATCCATCCATCCATCCATCCATCCATCCATCCATCCATCCATCCATCCATCCATCCATCCATCCATCCATCCATCCATCCATCCATCCATCCATCCATCATCCATCTCTGTGTACACACTATACTTGTTTACAACCATACTGGATTTTCAAAGACTCGGCAGATGTGGTATAACTTCGTAACCTGAAATAAAGGGAACCCTAAGCAAAGGTAAGGCCCTACATCGTGAGCTCCCTTCACCCCTGACTCGGTTGCCTGTCCCAAGGATGCTGAGGCCACGAAGTTGGGGTTCAGCTCCGCCAGCAAAGGCTCACCCTGGAGAAAACTGGCTGGATCAACAGGGAACCAACAGGTGACCAACAGGGTCCCCAAAGAAACATGCGAAATGGATGGTTTAGTTCGGGGTTCGCTTCCCCGAAAACCACAGTTTGGGGGTCCATCTTGGGGAAGCCGCGGGGAAACGGGTGCCCGCACTTAGCGAGGGTGCCGATTCCAACCCGAACTGACTCGACGCGAGAAAAGCTTTGGCCCCGGTTGCTAGTCTTTGGGGAAAGCTGCTTGCCCTTGGACGCGCCACGTACAAGAACAACTCCAGAACAGTCACACACACACACACCAGTACTGCAATCAAGAAAACAAAACAGACAAGCAAAAGACAAACTCGACACACGACATCTGACACACGACGCACGATGACACACGACACACGACACTCAACACACCACACACACACACAAACAGACACACACACACACACCAAAAACACAAACAACAGCAGAACCAAAACATGTCCACACCCACCCGCATGAGACGTGATCATTGTGAGCAGTCATTTTGAGTGCCCACATCAATGTGATGCTGCGATTGCGTTGCTTTCCCATTCGGCATATGTGCGCGTAACTTGTGCCGTGTCTGGCTTCGCATCTACCTCACGAAATGGGCCCGTCCCCATTTCGCCTCCGGCCTCCCCGACCCACTTCTGGTCGGTGGACATTTGGTACGTTGGCAAGATTGGCATTTCGGGCGGAGTCGTGCACCAGCCCAAAATATCCTAATTCACAGAATTCTGCACATCAGTACCTTGAACAAGTGAATCACACTTACAAATGCATGCAACACATTCAATGAAAACGCAACTCCTCCAAAAAGGCGCCGCATGGGGTTGCCCCAACAGACACCTTCGAAAAACATCTGGGATGTACTAGTGCACTTTGGGGGCACTTCAGTTCCAATACCTCACAAATCGGGGGCCACTTTAGACCTGGTACCACTTTAATGCACCCATGTATAAGCAGTGCTCTGCCTCCAGGCTCCATGCGGATTCCACAAGCCTTGAAAGGGACCCCAAAAGAAGGTTCCCATTGGTCGCCAATCGATTTCAACCAAACTGACCTATCCAGGACAACCATACCAAATGCCAAGAAAACCGGCCACTCTTGAGCACAAAGGGAGGGGCATATTCCTGTCTTTGCCCATCGTACCCTCGATTGTCTGTGGCAGTCATGCCCTCGACTTACGTCTGGGCTGGTACAAGCGCCAAAAAATAGAATAACTCGCACCCCGTAGTCTTCCTGTGGTCTTCCTGTAGTCTTCCTGTAGCCTTCCCTCCCCCTCATTAGAGGAAAAACTATCTTTAGCAGAAGGCACAATCCCATCGCCTCCCTCCTTCCAAAGCCCCAACCCGCGCCTCAGGGCTGTGTCCCTCTGCCACCACCCCCGGTGCCAGCGGCCCAGGATGCCCCAGGTCCTCCGCGAGGATCTGCCTCGGTCGCTCAAACTCGTCCGCTTCGAAACGGACGGCGGCTTCAAATGGAATGGCGGGAGGCCAATTCAGCGTCCCATTTTTTGAAAGAACCCCAAATTGGCTTCAGGGGCAAAGAATAGGTAGTGACACCAAGTTACCCTCCAGGGCCATGAAAAAGGCGAGAAAACATCGAACATGGCCTGCAAACGACCAAGAATTGCCTTTTGCTTTGAAATCGAATGAAGTAGATGGTATTCCCAGAATTGGTATCAGGTGCTGCTCACGGCGTGGGTTGAATCAGTACTCTGGAGACCCTGATTGCCCACTACATGCAAGCAACCTGTGCTGGACAAGCATGGTATGGTACAGGACTTCTCTTGGAGCTGCAAAATCAGAGGGGCACACACTACCATGTATTTGCACGTGTGTTTTCTTGCCTTTGCTCTAGGCAACCTGCTTTGCAACAGCAACAGCAACAGCAACAGCAACAGCAACAGCAACAGCAACAGCAACAGCAACAACAACAACAACAACAACAACAACAACAACGACGACGACGACGACGACGACGACGACGACGACGACGACGACAACAACAACAAC